AATTATTTTATTGTTTGTTAGTTTATTATAATAATATACTCCTTAGACTTTTTTCTACAGTTTTACAAAAAAAATATTTTTTTAGAAAAATAAATGTCGAAGGTATAAGAAAATGCAAAAGATTGACTTTAGATATAATTTTCTCATGCTTTAGCTTAATATCAACCCAGTGAACATTTTATTCGCAAGCCGAAAAGTGCAGCGAAATGTTCGTTTGTAAAGTACAAGTTGATTGTATGGAATGTAGTGTGTATAGCCATATAATATTTATTTTAACCACTTAAAGTTAATAAATAAATTTTATTTTTAATATTGTGAATTATTGACTGGAAGTTTATTTTATTTAAAATAAAACAATTTCGAAAAATTCTTACTTTTGAAGAAGTGAATTAGTTATTCAAAAAAATTTATGAATATTTAGAAGAATGTATAATTATGAGAAAAATAAGAAGAGAGTGAAAGTTTATCTTAATATATGCAATAATTTTATTCATACAACACTTACTTAAATACTTTGTGTGTATGTATAATATTTTTGTCTCTATACGTATATATATTTTTTATATTTTTTTATACTGCAATTTTTATAAATTTTTTTCACATCAAGATTTTTGAATATATAAAAAAAATTATTTCTGAAATTTATTATAATATTAAAACAATTAATTTTATTTAAAATGCATATATTATGAATATTTACTATAAATATAAAATTCATTCAGATGTGAAAAAGATATTTTTTTTGATAAATATTAGTTTTAATGACATTCAAAATATACTTTCATTGTAAAACGGTTTAAGAGTATCTTACTTCTTTAAATAAATTCTTTTTGTAAGATATTATCAAATTGTTTAAACAGCTTTTAATTATAAAAAATTTTTTAAAATTATTTTTTAAGTAAGAAGAAAAATAAAATATTTAAAAAAATAAAAAGTTGTTTTATTAAGTCTTTTCCACATTTTCCATTTATATTCCTAAATTTTATTTAATAAAATTTTATTTTATTAAACTTTTCTCTACATTTTTGATTTTTATTATTAAATTTAAAATAATTTTATTTTATTTCATCAAATTTGCAAGTGTGTCATAAAAAAATTCAATTGTTTTTATTACCGTTAAAATTATTTTTGATTAAATAATATTCATTTAATATTTTTTCATTATATTAAAAATAATTAAAAAAAATTTAAAAGCTTAAAATAAATAGATTAAAAAATTTTATATGTGATAAAAAATTACATATTATAAAATAAATAAAATTAAAAAAATAAAAGTTAAGAATATAAATCGAATATATAGAAAAACTTTTTAAGGAATTGATTTTTTTTATTCACAGAAATAATTTGTTAAAATGTTTTATTTTTAGAAAAATGAAATATTTTAAATAGAATGCAAAAATCATGAATTATTTATTGTTAAATAATATATTATATATTTTTTTATTTATGTATTTATTTATTATTATGCAGTGTTATCGTTTACAACACTGAGATGGATAGAAGCTTCTCGTTTTAATAAGTTAAACATTTAAATATTTTATTTTATTTATTTAATTCATTCAATAAGATTACCAATATTAAAATATTAAAAATTACAAATAATTAATTGTTGTTGCTTTTACTTATTTTGGTTCATTTATATTTTGTTCTGTTTATAACATTTATTAAAAATTATTTATTTTTATTTAAATATATTTATGACATATTTTTAAAATACCATAGATTATTTAGGAAAAAAAAAAACAATATAGAAAATCTCTTGTTTATGAAGAAAAACTATTAAAAACTGTATGTGTTTTAAAAATCTTTAATTAATAACATTAATTAAAAATTTTCGAAATAAAAATGTTTATAAGGTATCAGTATTCGAAAGTTTAAATAATAGTTTATATATATCAAATATGATTATATGTATTTAAACTGAATATATTTTATACGAATAAGATATTATTTGAAACGATTTATTTTTAAAGTTTTAAGAACAGCCCTCAGAAAATATTTCACACTATTTCTATTCAGTAATTAATAAATAAAATATTTAAGAAAAGTTCATATATATTCTCATTTCAGTAAATAATTATTACATTTCTAATTTAGGTTTGGTCAGAAAAAAATTTTTAACTATTTTTTTGATTAAAATTTTTCGTTTAAGAGGAAAAAAGATTTTTTTGAGTAGAAAATGTTAATAAAAGTAAAAAAATTAAACCACAAAAATTATTTTTTAATTAAGTACAATTTTGGAGCTAACCAGACTTTAGCGAGAAGACATAGCCACCATCAGTAGTTTTGGAAATAATTATTGGTTTCAATCATCTGTAAATAGTTTTAAAATTTGACAATTAAAGCATATAAAGACCAAACGGAGCTAGAACTGGATATTTGGCTATATCTGATATAACTGTAAGGTCAGCCCAAGAATTACATTAATTAAAAATTAATTTTTGTAGTTCAATTTTTTTATTATTAACCAATATTTTTTTTTTACATAAAACATTTATTATTTTGACACATATTTAAATATATATAATACAATATATATTTTATAGTTCTGCTGGTAATTATTATTAAATGCAATAATTCGAAATTGATTTGGAGTAATTTTTTTTTTAAATGAAATATAATAATTATATTCTGTTCTGTGAAAAAAATAATTAATATAGATATTTGTACAACAATAAAAAAAATATTAAAGTTTCGATAGTAATTAAATTTTTTTTTTGTTTAAAAAAAATTAATATTTTTTTAACTTCGAATAGATAAAAAATATTTAAAAAAAATTGTATTTGAATAAACTTTATTTAAATAAAAATTTTAAAATTACATTTTATAAAACTGATTTGTTCAAAATTAATTTTAAATTGTAGGTAGTTATTTATTTTTTTTTAAATTTAAAATTTTTGAAATTTAAGCTTTTATTCTATTTATTATATAAAAATGAATAAAAAAAATTGTTAAACTCACAATATCAATAATAAATAATTAAACTTATTTTATTTGAACATTTAAATGTTTCAGTGCTTAATAGTTAATGTCGTACCTAATACCAATATTGCTAGAGAAAGTGTTATATGTTTTCAAATAAATAAAATAATAAATTGAAATTAGAAATAAAAATAAAAAATGCGTACAAGATATTAATATTAATCTTGTAGTTTTTATAATAACATATTTTATTATTGTTATTTTAAATTTTATTATATTTTATATTATCGTTATTGATATTTTTACTAATATTAATATTATTGCTAATATTAATTCTAATATTATTACCAATATTTTTACTAATGTTATTAATATTATTTTTATTTTTAATAGTATTCGTAATATTATATATAATATTCTTATAAATTTTATTATCAATATTGTTATTATTATCATTGTTAATTATCACTAATATTATTTAATTATCATCATTATTATTATTAATATCGATAATGACCTTATTATCATTATTAATAATTATTGATTATTAATAATAAAATTTGTAATTATGTAATAATAATAATTATAATATGTAACAATAATAATTTAACATATAATAATAACAATTATAATATATAATAATAAATTAATAAAATTATCGTAATTGTTATTATAATATTAATTTTTATTTAATTAAAAATTAACTTACATAATAAAACAAAATTTTAAAAAATAAATATTAAAACTTTTCTTTTTAAATAAATTTTAAATTATTATTATTATTATCTTTATTATTAGTTTCTTAATATAACTGTGAGTTTGAATTTAAGAATTCCCTATACATTAACGCAATGGAAATAATACACATATATTTCGATAAAATAATTTAAATTCTTTATATATTTATTCAAAAATTCTTAATTTGAATTTTATTTAAAAATTTAAAATTATTTGTTTTAAATTTAAATAAGTTTAATAGTTTTGCTCCTATGATGACTAGAAAGAAAATTAGTTAAGCAATGAAATTATAAAATTGCAGTGTTTTAATAATTATATTTCTTTTTATATATATACGAAATATACAGTTAGTTTTAAAAATAGTTAAAATCAGTCCACTTTTTTCTAAAGATCAAAATTTAGAGTTTGAAAAGATTCTAAAGATATTAAATATTTAAGTTTATAAATAAAAATTTTAACATTTAAACGATTTTAAATGTATATAGAATAATGTTATTATATAGAATATAATAAATATATAGATTTATTAAAACAAATGGAATTACAGTAAATTTTTATTAAATGGCTTTAGTAAAATGTCATAAATTATTTTAAAATATAATTTATATAAATGAAAAATTTTATTGCTTCAATTTATTAATTATAACATTAACAAGAAACAAGATTATTTTAAATTATATAGAAATTAAATAAAAATAAATAATGTAATAAATAATACTAATAATTTTTTAACAATTTTTATACAATGTGTCGATACACAAAATAATATATATAATATATATGAATGTTTGAAATTTTATTTTTTAACAAAAACTATAGTTTATAGGTTACTATAATATTTTTATAATTTAATGCTAAATTTATTATAAATAAATTTTTATAACAAAAACACCATTACAACTATTTTCATAAAATCAATTTAATAAAATTTTACTAATGACATTAAATGTACTTTTAACATATTAATTAATAATTAATTAAATAATTATAAACTTTTATGTCCTATGACAAGAATTATATTTCGATTAGAAAAGAGGGTGATAATTATTAAATAATTATAAAATATTATATATTGCTAAAATACATATAAACTATATAAGAATTTAATATATAGAAAATCACATCGCTTATAGAGTAAAATAATATATAAAAAATAGCACAAACCTGTGCCAAAAATAAATGTAGTAATTCTTGTATTTACAGGACTTCCCTTGCGGAGCGTAACTCCCATAAATAATTTGCTTTTTATTTGTTTTTAATACTAAAATTAATATAGTGTCATGTTTAAATATTAAAATAAATAAAATAATTAACAAAAATATTAAAATACTATTAGTAATATCAAAATAAATATTATTTTTCATTTAAAGCTCCGCAATTGATTTAAGTTAGAGTTAAATCCATTTTTAACATTTTCCCCACTTTTCATGAGCTCCGCCATTATTTTCTATGACTTCTCAAACAACCCACCTCAATTGATGGCACACATCCATTGCCTTAACTTTTTATGCAATTATCGCATAATCAGGATTCATGTAGGAAAATCCAATAAATTCGCTTTGATCCAAATTCATCATGAATACTTTATCCGTTGGCGTCAAATCTGTTTTCTCAGATGTGAACTGTTTATCAAAATTCGAAACATCCTTACGATGTTTCTGTTGATATTAAAAACAGAATGAAAAAAAAATAATGTCATGTTAATTAAGAGTTAATTGAAAATTAAAAGTAATTTAACAACGGATATGACATTTGTTGTGTACTTACAATTTTTGGCTTGAAAGGTGGTTGTACCTCACGATTTTCAATTTTCTCCCAATCAATGCGACGGAAGAAAGGATGCAAACGTACATCCTCCTCGCCAGAAGAACTACAACCCAAACGTTTACCCGGTTGTTTAGTAAGAAACTATTTCGATAGAAATAAAAAAGATATATGTTTTAATTTAAATTAAATTTAAGTTAAATAAGAGGAAAGATTTTTTTTTAATGGAAAGGTTTTTAAAGAACAATGAATGGCAACAACAAAATTTAATTTGATAATTAATTAATTTTATAATAAGAATTAAATTAATATTAGTTAATTTCGTTCCCAATAAAACAGTTCCAAATATTACCTCATCATCAGTGGTCTTTGGAAATATGTCTTACATTTAAATCGGGGAATGTGTTGAGATCTTGAACCTAATTGGTGAGATGTCGGACCTAACTGATGAACATCGATCATCACAATGTTCCCCGTTCCTAAGTTTCAGGACGTACAAATATCGAATAAAACAAGTTGAGATAGATGAGATAGTCAGAAGAGGATCTGCAATGCACATAAGTGAAGTCGACACTTTAAAACAATTGTCGATTAGTAAATTTCTTAGGAGAATAATTGAATCCACTATCATAGTGATAATTGACAAGGGATAACCATAAAAAATCTATTTGGACCTTATTGATTAGATTAGAAATAAAACGAAATTTATTTTTTATTAAAATTGTCATATTTGTTTATTCTCAATTAGGATATAATTGATAAAAAAACATTAGTTATTATTTATTATAGACAGAATACAAGTTAAAAATTGATCCTAGTAAACCGTAAAGAGATTAGCAATGTGCAAGACAGCATACGAGTTCGCAATTGGTCCTACTACAGCATGATAGCGCTCATACCCTCTAAAAAATATCAATAGTACGAAAATCATATTGTATAAAACAATAACACCACCAGTAACAGTGAGATATTTTGAGACTAACACAATGGGTAATATGTATTTTTAAGTGGCAGCGTTGATAGTTATATCAGGACTAACCAGTTAAAATACTACATGACCAATTTATTCGAAATGCATATCCTTTGGGACACAGAAGCAAATCGGAAGTATTTAATATCTGTTATAACACGGCACTGGTCTATAGGACGGCATAGGACCAGGCTCGTCCTACCCTGTAGTATCTTCTATAGTACATTTCTATCGGCGCTCGAGAAAAAGATACCAGAACACCTGTTGGCTTATAATCAGGGTTGTCTAGAGCCAGGTTTAACTGCCACCTTCTTTAACCCACTCGGTGATGTGTCTAGTATTAGCGTTGGTCAGACACTTGCAATTATCAATGTTTCCGGCTGGTTCGAAGATTACCATTCTTCTATCCACTATTACGAGGAATTGTGGAATCAAAACGTCTTGCTAAGCTATTTAAGAGGGATTTCTTACCTAACCTAACCTATATCAGCATACACCTTTTGATTCTAACTCTATATAATAATACTTAATAACTTTTTAGTCTGTAAGCAGCAAGGTTGGGACTCATCCCTGTCAAATTTTTAACGAAGAATCGCGTTTTAGATAACTAAACCAACATTATTTTTGAGGTGTGTTATTCTAACTTGCAGTTTTGTCAATTTATAATTAATAATTACGAATAAATTTAATTTTTTCTGTTACATTAGCAGGATATCATATGCTTGCGCTATACATAATTGTATTTAGTCGTATTGTTCTCTGGTTCGAGTTGAATACTATTCTTTTTTTCAACGGTATGGATTTAGATTTAATTTTTGAAGGTTTCTTGTGAGGATCATTACGATAAAAAGGCGTTTAATCGCTTATTATGGGAATTTGAAGGATATCTGTTGATCTCCCACTGTGACCAATTAACAACGATTCTGTTTTGTTCAGGGTTTAGTTACATTCAGAAGGCCCATGCTGACAGTTGTGATTACTTCCACTCGGAGGCATATATTGCTCATTGTGATGGCCCCAAAAATTTTGCTAGAAGTGGCGAGTTGCTAAACTTTGTTATCATCTATCCTTGTTAAAGCATTTAATTTTTTAGATGAAATTTAGGAGATCCAATAAGTTTGCTTTCCTTTCCTCTTCAAAGTCAACGAACCATAAGACATTGAAGTCGCTTTGTCTGCAGTCCTGGACAGAGTGGTTGATAGATTCTACCTCCTCTTCATATTGACAACCCCTGCATAATTCACTTGTTGGAACTCGTCACCTTTGGAGCATAGGCACAATGGCACAGTGCTCCGTTAATACTCCAGTATGTACACGAGCTGCAGGTTTGCTAAAGCCTAAAAGGTTTTTCATTTTACTTTTATCCACAGTTTTCGCGGTTACCCCATAAATTGTTAGTCACCTTATTGGTGATTTTCTTTATAATTCTAAATGGTTCATATAGGTATCCACTGTTTTGTTTAAATAATTACTTAAAAACCATGAATTAAACAATCTTACTTCTAAGTTGGTTGAATTTATTTTTGATTAAAAGTACTGTTTTTATTTTTGTTTCGAATATAAATTTAAGCTTCACTACGTGTTTCTGATTAATTATATTTTTTGCTTTATGTATATATACATATATAGGTATGTAGGGTATGTATTTTTACACTTCCCAGTTCAGAAATTAATTTTCACTTAATTTTCATTACCCTGCACTTGTGTTCATTATGTAAATATTTTGTTCGTTGTTTTTCATTCATTTCGCAATTATTTGCATCAACAAATACATGAGCTTCTATAAAATAATGATTAATGACCTTCTCTTGGCACATTTACATAAATTAAGCGCAATTATCGTTGGAGTTTATGCACATACACAAGCTTGCCTAATTAATGATGCATACGTGACACCCCCACCAATGTACATTTAAGGCAAATAAGGATAACGATGGCTTTAATTACATGCTTTTAAATTAAAACATTGACATTGACATATAATTACACACTGATACTTACTCCTTTGCATGCCTCCTTTGCTTCTTTACTCAGACTCTTCGGATATGAGACATTGTGATCGGTGATGGCAGCGAACAGTTCCTCCTCATCTTCTCCATCAAATGGCGGTTGGCCAACTAGCATCTCATAAAGTAAAACACCATAAGCCCACCAGTCAACAGATTTACCATATGGTTGGTACAATATAATCTGGTAAATAAATTAAGGTAGAGATATTTTTTTATTAGTGATATATTACATATTACATATATTACATATTACATGTTGACAGAGAAGTGCGTGTTACAAAATTAAAATTTTGAATACAGAAATATCTGACAGGGTTATAGTAATTATTTGAAATAATATAATACACAATAAGGGTGTATACAGAGATTTATTTAAGAGGAGAATGGGTAGTTTAAAGATTATATGAAAATATTTTAACAAAAAAATATATAAAGTGTAAAATAGTCTGAAATATTTTTAGAGATTTAAAACGATGGAATCTAAATTTTATTTCTCCGAGTTGGTTATCCCAACTTTTCAATAGATTTAGTATACCGCGATTACTGCAACTTTCTCAAACATCAGTGATAAAAGGTTTTAACCTCCATAAGATACACATACTAAGTAGTTACATGATCTAAGTGCCTTACACTTATTATTATCAAGATGAAGATATTAGCTTTAACTAAAGATTGCTGCTATATCACTGTCATATAAAAGAAGGGTGGTTTTAAAATAATATTTTATAAGAAAGTCTTTAATTTAATAAAAATCCATTATATCTATTGTAAAATGATTTTACGGGCGGTTTAAATCCTAAAACTATATGCACCGTGAAGCTAAGTTCGCATCATATATAATCCATAAAATGGAATTTCATCAGCCACACGCTAAAGGACATCATGCATAATAGCAGATAAGTCAATATATACAATTTTCTGGGAAAAGAACTTCGGGTTAATACATGGGAAAGACAGCTTGAGTAAAAACTATGATCTATGAACTTCAAATTTATTTTTTTAAAATAGTTTTTCACTATTTGGAACGTATTTCTCCAACTCGGAGAATTAAGATTTAGGTTCCAAACGATACATGATGAATTGCCAAGCCTTACTGAGCAGATATATTAACAGAGTTTGATATTCTCAGCTGTCAAACCAGCTGTTGTTGTTGTAACCCGCCGGGACCTGCTTGTGGAGTCCCTTTGGGAGGTGTTGAACGGTACTTTGTCGTCGTAGGTGATGAGTGGCTTCGGGACGTAGACTCGACCGTTCTTGGAACCTAAACCAGAGTTATCGTTATCGATAGCTCTCATGCAAAATAACTTAAAATTTTATTTTTTTGCTATAATGTTTTGTTGTATAAACCGACGATTGTTTTTAAATATTTAAATTTATATCGTTTTTTGAATATAATTTTGTAATTTTTTTAAAATGTTATTTTATTCAAAAATTAAGCATTTTATGCTTGCTTTGTGTTACAAATTACCAGAATTTCCTAGAAACCATATTATCATGTGACCTTTCAAGCTGGGAAATTCTAAATTTATAAGCCCTAAAGTTAGTTCATGTGTTATATGTTTTTTTTTTTTAAATCTTTTGCTTAAAGGTAATTTCAGTATAAAATTTAAAATGAAATCAAAATGAAATGTAAAGAAAAATAAATGAAAAATGAAATGCAGAAAAATAATTTAATCTAACCTCAGGCGCAATGTAGTCCGGTGTGCCACAAAAAGTTTTTGTTGTCTTTTCGCCCATTATGTTCTCTTTACACATGCCAAAATCTGCAATTTTCACATGACCATCAGCATCCAGAAGGACATTGTCCAATTTCAAATCACGATACAGTATGCCTTTGCTGTGTAGGAAAAAAAGCCCAGCGGCAATTTCAGCAGCATAGAAACTAAAAAATGTGAGAAAAAAAAGATATAAATTAACAAAAAATATGTACCATTCGAAGTATTGCATACATATGCACATATAACCAATTAAATGGAATGTCAACAGAAGACCAAATCTTTTCAAAACAAGCCAACAAAGTGCTGAGACAAGGGTGGCATAAAAAACAGTACTCTGGCAGATTTCAAAATTGGTCTCATCTCATAAAATTTTCAAAGAACATCGAACAACATCGAAAATACTAAACATCAAGGCACTGGAAGATATATTAAAAATTTATGCAGTTACTTACACAGCAACTGGTTCCTTGAATTTTCCAAACTGTTGGATTTGAAACATTAAATCACCGCCATTGACATATTCCATAACAAAGAATAAGCGATCCTGCAATATTCACAATAAAGCGAACAATAAATTTCAATAAATGTGCAAAATCCTGAAGAAGTTCTCAACACGTACCAAAGTCTGAAAACAGGAATGTAATTGCACCAGAAATGGCGGCTTCTCAGCCAGCGCGAGGACACGTTTTTCAATCATTGTACATTCAACATCATCATCTTGTATAATGACATCCTTTTTTAATATTTTAACTGCGTACAACTCTTCCGTGCCTTTGCGTTCAGCTAGCATCACCTAAGAAAATATATAAGATGAAAAAGTGCAAACGCCAAAAAAATGTACAAAAATTTGATAAGGATGAAAGGTTTAAAACTTTTAATTTTGGCAAGTATTTTAACAGTGAAATGCGTACCTTGCCGAAAGATCCTTTGCCTAAGACTTTTATGAAATTAAAATCTGTTGCACGTATCATATCCTTTTTGGATTGTGACTGTGAATTGGTGTCAGTTCGCATAACCAATGGTTTCTTTTGTGATGATTTCTGTGGGAATATTAAAAGCCATAAAGGGTTAAAGACTTTGGTTTTACTTGTGCACTTCCATTTCTTTACTTACTCGCATTTGGCTTTTGACTTTAAGTAGGTCTTGTGTGACATCCGCACATGGCACATTATAGTATTCGCCTTCCTCCTGTGTGAGCAATTTAAACCAGCCATTTGCCGAGTTCTAAGTTGGAATTTATTTCATTAGATTGTTTTTAATAGATTCATGTTGTTTATGCGCTTTTTACCTTTATAATTTCAGATATGCCAAAGGATAAAGCTCCCATAAAATCATTACGTGATGTCCGATCCCAATCCCAAACTTCAATTAAGACTCGTCGGTCTTTATCTTCTGGTTTTAACTCACTTGAAATTCAAGAAGAAATATTCTTTTAAAATAAAATACTTTTAAATATAAAAGTAATTGCATTTAGTAACGGTTTAAGATAATAGTGAACATTTGCTTAATAAATATATTTAATGTGTCTTAATAATCACTTAAATAGAATTAAAATTGTTTCAGTAATTGCAAAAATTACATTGTTATTAAAGAAAGATACATTTTTATACTCGTATATAGATAATATATATAACAATGAAGTTAAAGTTTGTTTTTAGGCAATAATACTTCTTTGATAGAAGTCATTTCGTTAAAAGAGTATCCGGAATAATGATTTCAAAAAAGAGTATGGGGAATCACAATTACTTTTTTTAAGTTGGCAGCACTATACTGTACTACCACATGAAATTTAAGCACTATTTGGTATCCAGTGTATACGCATTATCAGTTACTGCTTCATACAATAGAGTGTTCGAGGAGTTTACGATGGAAAAAGTAGATTTACAAAGAAGTTGCCCTAAACTTTAAGCTTCAAAAGAATTCCGTTGTGCTGAATCGTTGAAAATCTTCAGACGACCAGAAGACAGTAAATCTTGAACATTAGAAATTATAAATATATTAAAAGTAATATAGTCGACAACGTTAAGAACATCGAACTATTCAAGAATCTGATTCCTCTTGATTAGTTTGATTAAATTTGGTTTGACTCTCTTTCAAAATAGTATTAGGATATCAATATCAACTTTTTAAATGGCTTCTGTGTCTACAAATTGGATTCCTTTAATTGAGAATTGTGTTCTTTCGAAAAGGTAGAAGTCTGACACTTTCAAATTATATGAATACGGCAAGAACATTACCAACACATGTACCCTTGTTCATAGATGGTGTCACTACCAACACATGTACCCTTGTTCATAGATGGCGCCACTATTGAGATGTTTTTGCTTTTATTTCGTTAATTGATGGGACCGTATATTCTATAGACTCAGGATGTCAATTCTAAGAATACAATCATTGGGAGAAAGCATGTATTAAGTTTGTCAAAATGATGGTAAGTCTTTGTGCTCATTTGTTAATTAATGGGCCCGCATATTAGCTTAGGATATCAAATCCTTGAACATAATAATTAGGAAGAAGAATCTATCAAGATTATTAAGTTGGTGTTAACTAAGAGCTATCGTGTTTTTTTCACAAGTACTTTAAAAATACTCATAGTTTTAGCAATATATTCGCTTATATATTTGTATGACGAACTAATGTCCCAATTATTTAACTATACGATTGAAATTATACAAATGGATTTATTCTCAAATTTAGATTCCTATTTGGGTAAAGTCATTAATAATTCATATGGGAACCATAGAAAAATAACTAATTAATATGATGGTTCAAATATGTAAAGTATTTTATATTTAATCCTTAACAAAGTTCAGTTTTAATAAATAAATAATGATTTCATCCAAACATTTAATGAATTTGTAATTTATGAAAATTATTTATATCAATAAAGGACATTAATTATTTCATATGCAAAGCTTTATATCATAACTTATGTAAGTAAATATGTATTATTATTATTTATATATATTCCTGCTTAAAGTTTTCTAAATATTAAATATTTTTTTATATACTTACTAAACAATAGTTTCATTCCAAATTGGATTTAAACATGCTTTAATAGTGCGAGTTTTTTTCTTTGATTTATCTTGTTCATCTGGAATGAGTTTTACTTTGACATATGGATCGCTCAGACCGTTTGGATCCATAGGAATGAGATTTCTACCTTCTTTTACTGAAAATATTGCAATTATAAAAATTATTTTATATAAAGAATTAATAAATTAATTATTAAATTAAATTAAATTATATATGAATTAAGGAATTAGCTTATAAATGAATTAAATGCAATTTTATTTAAAATTATTTATTGTCTATCGAAAATGTCTATTGAAAATGTTAAAATAAGATATTTTAATCTGGTCATAATGACAATTAAAAGAGAAGCGGATACGCATGTCCTTGCATGTTCTGCGTTCCATAAAATAAAAAAAGAGTTCTCTTATTTTCTCTAATGTTACAACAAACCTAAACTCATTAATACTTCCATCAAAACAATACTGCTCTTCATCTAAGAGATCTTGAAGGTTACGGAGTGCATTGGACATATAAGTACTATAAACTTTTCTTAATAAGTGTCTATATCTCTCGTATTTGCAGTAACTTTTCACCGACCACTATCTGTAATAATGATTTGTATACTATAATTGCATGCGAACCGATGGAGTTTAAAATTAGAGTTAGAAAATTGTGGGGAATATACCATTTACCATACCATAATCATCGTAAAGACAACTTAAGCATTTCCGAAATGTCTACGAAATGGTGCTAATATTTCTGTTTAGTAATGTAATGTAATGTAATGTTGAGCCCTTTCCGAGTTAGTGCATCTGGACACTTTTATTCTTTCATAGCTGCGGAGTTTCTGCAGAGTCTCACCCATCTCACTGACTAATTTGTGTATTCCTCATAATCTTCGTGATTATACAATGACTGATCTAAGCTCTGCATACCGCCATGTACGGTTAGTGATTATTCTGAGATTAGATAATGCTAAGTAGATCAGCCTGTCGGTTTTCGCATATAGCTTCCAAGCTCTGTCTCTTATGTATTTTTTGACCCGATCTATTATAAGGTCTCTTAGCATGTCATTCGTGCGGATGTACGATGGCACTTTGAAGAGTCTTCGGAGAGCCTGACTTTGAGTAACTTGTAGCTTCTGGATAGTAGAGTCGGCATATATTGAATGAAATCCCACTTTATCTTTCAGATAATTTAAAATAGTTGTTAATTTCTGGGTAATCTTGTTACTCTGACAAAATATCTCGACTGTTATAATTTAATCTCAAGTGTTATACATTTCGCTCCAGATTTATCAATCGAAAGTGAAAATTAGATTAAAATTGAATCTCGATTGAAAAAGTTACTGCAGATTCACCAATCGAAAATGGCAGTGTGAAAATGGTATGTGATCACCTCAATAAATCTTAATATTTTAATACGATTCAATTTCAGTAATTTAATTTATAAATTTGTTATAATTTAATATAAAATATTATTAGTAAATATTTTATAAAAAACTATTTCTATACAAATAAACTATTTTATATTTTTAAGTCAATAACTTTAAGGAGTAAATAAAAATGGAAATAAAAAGGATTATTTCATAATTTTTATTTAGTAATAAATAAATTTTTATTCTTTGAAAATATTATCTCTTCGGGGAAGAATTTATGTAGAGCACAATCTAAGCATACACATATACATATATTTAAATATGCATATATGTACATATATACACAATATTGACTACATAAATTTCATTTTCATTTTCAGTTCATTGAGAATTGTTTGTTTGGTTATCACAAGGTTTAGGAGAAAAATTGTAATAAAAATTTTTAGTTTTATATTTTTGTGTAGTTTTTGTTTTTGAAATGAATTTATGCAAAGGAAGAAGCAAAAAATTTATAGATACAATTTTCATTTTACTGCCAGAGTATCGAGTTTCAGTGTGCATTTGCCACACCAATAATTGCAGAACTTACTTCTCGGATTGCACTTGTGATTAAGGAAAATTCTGTTAAAGGAAAGGCAAATATCCTTTGCAGTTGCTCTTTCAAATCATTTTAATCGGAAAAGATAAAATATTTTCTATTGAAATTTGAATGCTTACTTTCATATAAAAGCAGATGCTTACATACAAAAATTGCACAAAAACTCAATTGCAGTCCATTTTTGATTATTGTTTTTATTGATAGAACTAATTTACTATCCAAATACGTATTCGCTTTTACGAACTCAATTGAAAGCAGTTATTATAGGATTAAAGCTTAGTTATGTGTATAATATCCTGTTCAAGGAGTATTATTCAAATAAATATTATACTATTGTTAGATTGAAAATATAACATTATTATGATTTCAGGATTTCATTAAAGTGAAATACTATACATGGGGTTTCCTTGAAAATTTCCATAAAGTATGAAGTTGATTCCTTGATTCAAGAATTGAGAAAAAGCATAAGTCCAGCTTTGCAAAATAGGCCACACGCCGCATAAGGAAGATTCAAATATAGTAAAAATCTATTTTTAATGGAAGCCTCAAAGATCTTATAGAATATGGCTGCATCTGTAGTAGATATTTGCCATATAAATTTATAGAAAATTTATATCAAACGAAAAGGTTCGGCATTGAGATTTTTAAAGGATGCTAACACAAAATCATTGTATCTAACTTATTCGCTTGTCAAGAGATGTACCTCTATTGTAACTAGGGAAATAAAAATAAGTTCTTAGGGCAATTCAATGGACTATGATGAAGACGTTTTTATAATGTTTAGTGTACCACAATATTAGGAAAATTTTTGTATGGTCAGCTAAAAATTCAATTAATTAAAATAATTAAAAAGTTTGTTGTTATAATTCACTACTGTTCGAAACCTTTATATTAAATATAAATAAAAATAAGTTCTTAGGGAAATGCAATGGACTATGATGAAGACGTCCTGACGTCCTTATAATGTTTAGTGTACCACAATATTTGGAAAATTTTTGTATGGTCAGCTAAAAATTCAATTAATTAAAATAATTAAAAAGTTTGTTGTTACAATTCACTGCTGTTCGAAACCTTTATATTAAATATGAAAATTTCTATTAAATAGAATTTAATATTAAATATAATGTTCCTTATAAAAATTAGTAACTATTGACCCATTAGTAACTATTAACCCATTTGCTAATAGTACCAAAGTTTGTGTACCTAAAATATTTGTGATTAGTTTCAGATCAGAGAACAAATCAAACTTTTTATTTACTTTTCAGTGGTCACAGCTGCTGTCAGTTACTTTAGCCGCCAAAAATTTTGTCCTTTTTTCATTTGAGATACTGTTGCTTAAGGAGCATGCTTTTTCAGCTGAGGTACTGTTGTTTAAGGAACATTTAAAAAAAATCGTAACAGTAAAAAGCGAATATAAGTGCCATAATAACGGAAAGAAATCATCCTATCACAATTTCACAATTTTTGGCAACGAACTAGTGGCAAAAAGTTGGCTTCAACCAGTTGCCTTGGAGTTGGCAACGCTCCAATTTGGCAATTGTGGCTAAAATAGCAGTCAATCGGTCGAAAATATTTATGTTAAGCAAAAATTCATATAAAGTTTGAAAAAGAAAAAAATCTGTTAAAAGGAACATGTAGTTTTTAGTAAAAAATATCTTTGATTTATAAAGTTCTAAAGAAATTTAGAAAAAATGATAAATATTTTAAATGTAATTGAATTTAATAATTTTTTAAACCTGCTTAAGCCTTCGAAGTATTTATGGAGTATTCATTAGTTTGGCAACTTCCACCTTCGAATTTTAAGGTACCGAGTTTAAGTTGAATACTCAGCAATGGTGGAATTATTTTCCATACATTCAAACCCTAAAAATGAGTTAAAAATCCACGCCGACATTTAGTGAACCACCACCGCGAGGCATAAGACAAGCACAATCTGTGGTAATTGGCTTAAGAAGTTTGAGTGCAAAACTTATGCGGCTCATTAAAGTGTTCAATTACGCATTCTAAGTGGCGGAAGTGGGCGTGAATGGGGCGCAGAACAAAGCCAAATAAGCCAACGCTCATGCATTACGCAGAGTGCCAGAGATAAGCAGATACCAATTATGTGCAACAAAAGTTCCTCGCTAAGTTGGCTGGGCTTGGTTCGGTTGTGGAGCAATTTTATTCAACTTATGCCGTCGTAGTTAGAAAGCAATTAAGCAATTCAAATATGACTGACGACAAAAAAACGACAATTTAGCTTATGGAATATGCTAAACTGTCAACAAAGTAGGAAGGAAGAATACTTATAATTATAGTGAACTAGTAATTAAACTAGTTAGGCTTGAAGTTACTAAAACTAAAGTTAAACATACAACCGAAGTCTTAACTTACTTGAGTTTATTTGAAATTAAAATATAAATTGAATTAAAATTTATTTATTTGCTATAAAAACGTTTAAGAGGCGTTAAATTGAAAATAATTAATTAAAAAATTTTTGCTGAACTTACTTTGTACTGTCAATGTGCTATCCTTGACAACAAGTTCCAAATTGATGCGTCCACGTCGTTCGGTGTGATCGCAGCCACATAAGCTAGGCACGTTCTCCTTGCAACGTGAGTGCACGTTCATGTCACATGCTGTTTGGAGTTATTGTCGGTAGCATGGAAGGTTGGCAGGATGCAGCAGAAGTGCAATAAAAGAAAAATCAGCATTTGTTGTTAGTTTATTGCAATCTTTAAGAGGATAAAGCCACACATAAACCAACACAACACAAGTGCAGCAGACTCAGACTCCGAAACATGCACACATCTCATAAAATACACATTACACAAGTTAGAAGCGCTTACCTTAATGGCCTTCTAAAAACTGCATTGACTCATTTTTATTGCATTTGGTGTTCTCGAGACGCGACATACATTAATAAACTTATTTCGTTATATATTTATTTTTATCATTTTGTCATAAATAGCATATAGTGTCACTTGTGGAAGGAAATAATTTATGTGATAAACATTACTTTTATGATAACGGTGGTTAAATAAGATATAATCCATCATTTATTGGTAATAGTACTTCCAAATGATATGCGTGCAAAATGAGGGAGCGACAATGAAGTTTAATTTGCATACTATACTATATTCTATATTACTATATTCTAACTTCAGCAGGATACTCGATAAGTCATATACAGCTAAAAATAAAATTGAAATTATATTGTTAACTATTTCTCTACAACCAGTAGTGGATATTTAGTAGAGCTGTGCAGTATTGATTACTTTTACAATTAGATTACTTTCAATTACAAATTCCAAATAATTGTAATTTGGAATTTAAATTTTCGATATTAATTGTAATTAAAATTGAAAAAAAATTGATTACAAGTTATTGGTATTTGAACTTTAAATATGAGATTACAATTGGTATGTGTGTGGTAACACAAAGAAGAGAGAAATGAGAGGTAACCGAGAGAAAGAAATAAGCATATATGGGCCATGTTCACGGTTGCCACTTGAAAATTTTTTTCTGTACCAAAATTGGTTTAAAAAGGTACCATTTCTGTAAAAAAAGGTCCAAAATTTTCTATTGTCTTTTTATAAGAAAATACAATTTATATAAAATGTACAAAAAGTATAAAACAATACAATATCCACAATAGAGTTGAGTCGCCGAAAATGTGCCATTTTTTGAACATGAGTACCAGAGTACCAAACGGAAAAAAAGTACAAATTTTGGTACTAAAGTACCATAAGTGGCAACCGTGGCCATGTTATGCAGAATGTCTCGGGCACGGCAAATTACGCTCTTTCGGGCTATGCCGAACTCTGCATGTTATGCAGAGTGTCACATCAGTATTGCCAATTTCGTATTTTTACAATGTTTTGATACTTTTTGGTTGTGCCTAAATTTATAAGGAAATTTAGATATGCTCACTTTCAATTTGCCACCAAAAATAACTAGCCTTCGAAAACAAGCCCCTTAGAAAACCTGAATAAGTAGTTAACTTATTAATAAAAGTTATATTCTTGATTCACCTCGTATATGTATGTTTGTAATCTCTTTCTTCCTTTCTCTCTCTCTTTCTTCATATCTCCCACATTCATACTGTAGAACACATATATACCCTAGATCACTGTCAGTTTTAAGAATTTAATAAATAATAAAGAGAGTTCAGTGTCAGCCTCACAACCGAAGTTTTAATATTTTGTGTAGCTCTTATATATACCAGGGCTGTCTTTTAAGACTTGCGTCTAACAATGAAAACACAATTTAGAATCGATGTATGGTAAACATTATGCATTCGCATAAAATGTTGTAATGACATTTTTGCTAGAAAATGTCAAATTTTGAAGCAGAAATGTCAAAATTCATCTGACAGTACTTAGTGTTGCTTAAGTGCAAGACTTAAAAGGCTCATATATTTTAATAATAGTATATATTCATAATTTTGCTAATGGTAGAGTTGCCTCTTAAGTTCAAATAGTATATAAACTCCGCGTTGTTAATACATAGAGTTGATATTAAAAAAAATATCTGTTAGGTTCGTTAGTTCTTAGATTCACATAACATAGATTTATATTTGAAATAAAAAAGTTGCATAAACATAATAATTAACATAAATTGATTAAGCTGCAGTGGGAACATGGTATTAGCTAAACCGGTAGTTACACATATTTAACAGTTTATAATTTAAATGTTATAAAATGATAATATTTGTTCTGTTATAACTACAATTATAACAGATTTTTTTAGAGTTACCTTTGTTAAATAAAAAAGTTGCATAAACATAATAATTAACATAAATTGATTACGCTGCAGTGGGAACTTGGTATTAGCTAAAGCAGAAATTATACATTCTTAAGAGCTTTTTATTCAAATGTTATAAAATTATAATATTTGTTCTGTTATAACTACATTTATAACAGATTTTTTTAATGTTACCGCTGTTGAATAAAGTTAGTTACTTATTTAATAGTTTAATTTATTTAATATTTATTTAATATTTGTAATTTTTTTTTTGTTTTGATATTAATATATGCATATATTAATATGCAATCTAATATATATTCAGCATATAAAACATATTACTTAATAATTTAAAAATTTAACCTTACGCAAACAAGTTCAATCGATGTTTTATTGCTAAAATTAACTTTTCTTTTTCGTTTTGTTTTTACTCATTATGTATTCTAAACTTAATTACATAATTAATTAGCCGTGTTAGATATTTTGTCAAGTTTGAAAAAAAAAGCAAAAAAGATGATTCTGTTTATCTTGAAAGCGTATGAGTGCTTAATAAACTGAAAATATTTACGTGTGCAAAATATAGCATAAAAGTTTTTTAAATGAATTTTAAAGCTCAAAGTTAATTAATTTGAAGATGAAGTGGGGAACAAAAAAGTTGTGCTTCGACTTGCTTGTCTTAAATTTTCATTAAGTTAATTATTTTCTGTATAAATTTAGTACTCGTACATAAGAAGTCTTAAAATTATTTTACTGCTTAAGAATATGTAAACAAACATAAAAAAGGTATAAAAAAAAAAATACTTGAATATATAAAAATACTTGGAAAATTAAAGACTTCAACGTGAGTAAGAAGAGAAGTAAACAAAGCTAAGCTCTGTTAGTTGAAATCAGCAAGTTTCGATGTAATTACAGTTTTTAGTATAATTAATGAACGTAAAAGAAAATGTATGGGAAAATATGCAGTGCTTCCATATGACGATATAGTATAGAGATCATCTGTACATATAATGTATGAAAAATGCAGCGCTTCATAAATGAGGATTTCATACGTTACTTACAATATATAAAAAACTGCAGTCCTTGCAAATGAAACATAAAACATTGCATATTTTTGTGGGCGAATATTAATTACTTCATTTTTGCAGAAGGAATTTTTGTAATTAAAATATTAACAAAATAATTCTAAAAGCACTAATTAAATAATAATATTATATTTAATATTTCAAAGATTTCTTTAGAAATTGCTTTTACTTAGAATTTACTTAGAGTTTTTTCACTCGTTAGCTCTTGAAAGATTTTAATTAATAAACGAAGCAAAACTACGAGTAAGAATTGTGGGAAAATATAATTAAATACTTTACTTAGTTAAGTAATTACTTAGTTAATAATATTCAATTAAATTAAAAACTGGGCATTATTTATAAAAGTTTAAAACTTTTACTTAACGAACTAAACAAAAAAAGAGTTTCTTAATTAAATATAAAAAGAGAAAACTAGAAGAGAAAAATTGAAACAAAAAATTATAAGCTTTTGTTAGTTAAATTGCCATTAGCGATATTCACAGCTCTTAGCAAACGAAATAAACGCTAAATAAATAGTTTAAATATCGCCTGAGCGGAAATCGGACACAAAAGGCAAAACGTTTTATCGGCGAGTGTGGATGGATGCTTGTCAGCGTAAGTTTCGCATGCTGAAAATGCAGCTCATTGCAATGCAAATCAATTTCATACAATTTACTTCAATTTGTTGCACAGTTTAATATTGTTTTTTTGAAATAATTTTTTCCCCCATCTCTGCAAAGCATTATTATCCCGTTTTTATTCATTATGCCATCGCTCAGCTCATGCATACTGGGATCCATTCAACCATGCAATCATTCTTCGGTTTCATATCATTTCTGTCTTTAGTCACTTTTCGTTTTATATTCCGATTTCGATTTCGATTTCTTCTTCGTTTTCGTTTTAGCAACGGAAATTAAACCAATACAATTTGTGAGCATGCAGGAGCATAAGAAGAAGCAACACCGTTACCAGCAGCAGCGCAACTGCACCAGCTGTAACGTCACGTTGCTATGTGTGCTGTGAAAGCCAATCTCTGGCTTTGCTCTGTCTTTGCTGTTTGTAGTGAACAAAATTTATTGCATACTTTTTTGCGTTCATATATATGCAAGCAGTAAGGTTGGCAACGCAATATACATTAAAAATGATTGGAAATTGAATGCGAATTATTTGTAATGCGATGTAGTAAGAAAGAAATGCGAATTTATGTTAAAAGGATATAATTTCTTAAAATTATGTACGTGTTTAATATTGCAATTAAATTTTATAGACAGCTGCCAATGTACACAACAACTTTTAAATAAGTTAATAAACATTTTTATACAATATATAAATGTATACAAATCGTAATAACAATATGAGAACAATAAAGAAATTTAAACAAAAAAACCTGTTATGATATATAAAAAGAATACTACATTTAATAAAAATAAAATGTTTTTCATAATTAATAGCTAAAAATATATGAAGGACTTTCATATAATAATTAGTGTTGCTCTTTTATAAACCATATCAAATTACAACAAACAATTTTTTGCTTTATACTCTAGTAACACAAAAGCCTATAGAATGTATTAAAATAGAGTAGTGGATAACAACAATAATAATGATAACAATAACCAAACATACTCCCGTACGAAGCTATAGCTTTATCTATTTCTTATATGCCTTACTTGCATTAAATAACTACTTTAATGCGCCACAAAGAGCAACTATACAAAGTAACAAGTATGTATAAAAAATGCAAGGATTTGCCGACATATGGCCTGGTCGTGTAGTTGTGGATGCTTCACTTTGTCCTCAACATCCTTTGCATGAAATGACAAAACCAATTTTGCACATGACTAGGCAATTTGCAAAATATATGTTGAATATGGTTTTCAATGTTTTCTGAAAATATTTTTTTTACATGCGTCGTCCATTTACAGTAGTGGATTCAGTAAATTTTATTTGAGAAGTCGTAGAATTTAACCGTTAAAATAATGTTTTATACTCGGTTACAGAATCTTCATTTACAGTTTATTGAAATTGGATTCATAATAATTTATTTTACTGTAGAGAATCATTAAATATCGGTAAAGTAAAAAATAAACCATAAAATTTCAGAACAGCGAAAATAAAATTTGATTACATTCAAATTGGCTGCGTTAACCAAAATTCACGAGTAACCCATTGGAGTTGAAGCTTTTCAGAACTTTCCACAGTACTAGGATAATGAATAAAAATACAAAATTTTCTGTTAAAAAATATTAACAAATTATATATCAGTGAAAAGGTAATTTAACATATATAAAAAATGTTCATATGAAGAGGAGGAGAAAGAGAACTGCAGAATTGTTCATAGATCAAATTCAAAGATCGAGCCTTGAAATATGCAATAGTCAAATTATTTTCATACTTTACACACCATAGGCAGACTTTTTGGGTGCTTTGTGTTATGTTGTGGACTCTTGTCGAAAGCTGGTTTCACTTCAAAGCATCTTGCAAACCATTGTTCATTACAGTCACCCAGACCAATATAAATAGTAGTGCTTTACTTGCTGTGGTTATTCGAATATCTAAATTTTCGTAAAATGTCTAATTATTCATATTACGGTTGATAGTTGCAATGAATAAAATCATCACAAATAGGGTTACTTGACCTATTATGGTTTTTCGAATTTGATCGTTAAGATCATTATAAACAGCGTTTCTTCAGTTCGCATTAGTGTATAAAAGCAGCAATGGTTAGAAACTTTTGATTTCTACGGGCTTAAGCACGTATGATAGTGTGTGGCTTCTTATGAAACTTCGAATATCTTTTTTCTGGCTTAACCATAGATGTAGTTGTAATCCGGTGGTACCTGTAAGCAGATAACATTACATGGGTGTAGAAGTGGATGGGTAGTAGTTGACGGTGATGGAGGTAGGACTGAGGATAAGATAAATTAATTGAACATTAATCCCAGTCCAGACGATGGTCAATTGGATGGAGGTTAGCGTGCATTGTAGGACACATTAGGAATAGACGTTCAAAGGGATTTACAAGCAGGTATGTTAAAACTGCTTAAGTCATCATACATGTGATTACTTTATATCGTATTAATCTTGATGCTAACTCATTAACATCATACCAAACAAATACTAACGGATAGCAACCACTGTTCATTACAGTCACTTAAATTATCACAAACAGTGGTTCAATTTTTTATTGAATATATAAATTTTTATATGACTATTGATCGGTTTAATAGTCAAAATCATCACAAATGGAGTTGCTTGACTTCTTGTGGCCCTTTGAATGTTTAAATCCTTGCATAACGTCATGTTCGTAAGGTTGATTACTAATTTAGAAGAAGCGTTTAGTATTTTAGAAGGGGTGATTCTGATTTTAGCGAAATTATTCCGTTTTCTGATAAAGTTAGCGGAACAATAAAAGAAAAGGGAATATCATAAAAAGCAAATGAAGATCCAACTGATTTAAAATTACTCCATTTTTACGCAATAGGAATCTGGCCCGTTCTCCTTCTATATTACTCTTAATGAAGTAAATGAAGAAATTATTAATATAAAATTGTTTCATTTTTACGCAATAGAAATCTGATCTGATCTCCTACTATATTACTCCTTATAGTATATCAGATATCGTGCATGTTTCTAATCACAGAACTTTAGTTGGTTATAAATATTTTTGAAAAATCATCTCAGGAATCAAGTATTCTAATATCCTTAATTTGTAACTGAGATGGATTAAATTTATATAGTTTTTCTTCACATCTGTAGAATTATTTTTCCAATGCATTAAATGAACTTATTCTCAAAATTCCTAATGTTCTAATTATTAAAGGATTACTTATATTAAAAAAAAATTCTCACTTATAATCCTTACGATACATAACTGAATTACTTAATCCATAATCCTATAGTCCTCACTCAATATACTTAATATACTAATAATATTCCAATAATAAGAAGAATACTTATAATGAAATGTGAAGAATTCTAAGTTATAATCCGCCACTGTACGATTACCATACATAAATCCATATATCCCTTTGTGGGTTGCGACACAAAATTGTTGTCCATGCTTATGTATATACTTTTATTTTCCTTTTCATTTTGCCATTGTCATTTCTTATTTAACACTTCACTTTGGTTTCTTTAGTGATAATAATGTGCATTTTTTCCCTTCAGAATGCTTATGCCTATTTTTTGCACCCAGCATCCAATATTAATAAGAAAAATTTTATTGCAATTTTTATGCCCACAAAATATAAATGAACACAAAATCCTTTTTAGAGTGTGGCTGTTTTCATAGGAAACTCTTTTGTTGTGACACAGAAATTATTTATGCTCCAATAAATTCAATTTAGTTTCGATTTTTCTATATTTTTACATCTCATGAAGTTAAACTCAATGAATTCATGTGTCTTAATAAGGAGTCCATTTGTGTGGGTGTATGCCATGAAACGATGAAATGTAAATATTTTCATATGAAATTGAATTTGAAAGGATCTTAAATAAATTCACAATCTGAATGTATGCATATCGAATTGCGAAAAGTGTACAGCACTGCGTATGAGTGACGCACAGTTGAAGCGGGAGGAGGTAAAAATATGCAGGACAATGTAATTCGGGTATACAAAAATGCCATTCTTCTGTTCTTTTTCCTTTATAATGTTTCTTAGTTAAGCTGAAAATTATATTCCTATTAAAATTGAAGACATATTGTGCTTGGGTGTTCCCATTATTTATTCGAAAATATTCCAAATTTAACTGCATAAGTATTTAAAGTAAAGGAAATGGATCTTTTAAGAAAACGCTTCAGTCAATAAACTTTAAATGTTTCAAAATAGAAGATTACTTTTGGGTATAGAGTATCAATATGTATATAAGTCTTTGTTAATAATTTGTAATAGAAAAATTTTTACCGATTAGTAGTGAAATTACAACAACAAAATTTTTTATTATTTTTAAATAAAAAAATTAAAACTTTTTATCTTGCAATTTTATTATTGTTCAATAAACCTCTCTATTGAAAACAGTGGTTTATTTAATAAAGATTCTCAAGTTTAATTAAGTTTCTTTCATCAATACGGATTAATAAACAATTTAATAATATTTATTTAATATATAAAAGGATATCGCAACAAAATTTTAATATTACCAATTGCAATATAGGACTTCCAATGGTTAAAAGCTGTTTTGTTATGCAGTATAGGTTAGGTTAAGTGAAGTGAAAGGGGTGATGAATCTTAATGAATTAGCTGCAAAAGTCCTTTTGATGCTATATTCCTTGTAATAGTGTGTAGTAGAATGGTCATAGACGTCCAGTGTTTTTTACGTGATTTCCTGCCATCGATGGCTTAACACCACGGTGCCCTTAACACACGTATTAATTTAAGCGTCAATCAACGCCCCATTGGAATAGCCTTCCTTATTCCGCCGATACCAATGAAGAAATTCATGCAAGTTATAACTTCCACCTTGGTAAGATGCGAGGCCTACCCGCTGACCTCTGCGGATCTTTGGGTCACAGCACCCGGTTTGATACGCATACCACGGCGAATGAATGACAAGCAAAACATTCTTTCCGCGTGACTTTGGGTATTAACCACAACCACTTCGACCACTCCAACACCAATGGTCAGCAGAGCCGAAGCTGTCGGGCCACTGACCCCCGAAGTACCAGATAGTATCATCTCTGGTCAGATGTCGCAAGTTGCCGCCCACAACTTACTACCATTCGCACTTCTTGCATAAGTGCCAGACTGGCACTGGGGGATATTAGTCGCCTCTTACGACAGGCCATCCTAACCGCGGGAGTATTATTTTTCCCTCTCCGCGGTAGAATGGTCATGTAAGAATCAGCCGGATGCAATGATATAAGTTAGTATCTAATACTAATCCTCTACTACTAATCACTACTAATCCTGTAATTATCGCCGAGTATGTTGAAAAGTAAGGCACCTAATAACTTAAGCCTGGATATGTAGTATTCTTCAAATAATATATTTTTTTTCTAGCACCCAACTCACAATTCAGTTGAATTGCAGTTTTTCGTTAGGTTCTATATTTGGAGCAGGTCGGATATTATATAAACTACTTCTAATTTCCCCAAAGTCAGCGGTTTTATGTTTGGAGTATATGGGTTATGACGCTTTTATTTAGCTGCTAAAGAAATAAAGCAGATCCAGTCATCTTCCATACCGTTATTTAGCGGTAAGTTATCGGTTAAGGCCCACATTATCTTAAATAACTTCGATTTACTCCCATAGATTAAGTCAGAGCTTTTATATTTGGAGTGAAAGTAATGGATCACGTCGTTTTATAGCCTAGTATATTGTTAGGACCGATATTATAGATAACTACAATTAACATTTTCGGCACACATTACTTTCTTGTTATGCAAAGGTGGATAGTTAGCACCAAAAATATTCTGTAATAGCCTTGTACTGGCAATTTGATTGTTGATGCAGGAGCACGATAACGACAAAGCAAAACCATTGATTTATGCAGATGACCAAAAAATAACTTCTGATCTCGTTGTGAGATAAAATTGTTCAAATTTGATCATTAATGTTCAGGTGATTATTATATTTGGTCTAATTATAAAACATATCATATTATTTCCACAAGTACTTGCAGAAAAATATTTGCTCCAATGCCCTAACGTCAATGTAATGTGTTTCGTAAATATCGGTAATATGATCAATTTTTGATCAATTATCTATTATCTGAGTTATCTACAATTATATTAAAAGCAAGACTTTATGAAATGAAAAATGTTAAACCAGCTTATAGCGTTACAAAAACGGAGAACAGTGATGTCATGCCATGAGGTTTATGAGATCTTATGTAAATAATCTTCTTGAACTTTTAACGGACATCAACACGATCAATTCTGAAGTGTACTGTCATCCATTAATCAACCTGAATTAATAACCCAAACAAACATTTGCAGTACTAATTAATAGAATAGATGTAATGTTCTACCAATATAAAGTGAGATCTTACACAAGTTTGTTAGTTCTTCTTAAGCTTTAATAGTTTGTATGGGATGTATGATCACATCCATCGTATTCTCCAGATCCGGATTTCAAATGATCCTCCAAAGATATCTGAAGGAAAAACAGGTGTTATAAGTCGTGATAGTTTGTATGGGATGTATGACCACATCCATCGTATTCTCCAGATTCGGATTTCAAATTATCGCCTGCTGAGGGGTTTTAAAAAGTTTTCAAATGGTAAAACCTTTAGATCAAATGAGATCTTAAATTTTGAAGTTTTGTGAAAGTAGTAAATAGAAAGTTGGTAAAAACTATTGGTCTGAAAACTGAGAATATATAATTAAGTAAATTATTTATTCACTTTAGGAAAACTACCATATAATAATATTTTCTGGTTAAACCAATATTAATTATATATAAAATTATGTAGTTGAATGCATATTGTGTTATAATTGAAGTTATTATAAAATGTATTTTGCGAGATTGGTTAAAAATCCCACTAACACCCCAGATAATGTCCTCACATATCTTTATAGTGTTCAATTTACACACATTATATTTGTAAGTGTAAATGTTATGTATGAAATATACTAAAATTTTCAAAAAGTATGCAGTTAAATTATTGAAAAATCTGGTAACATCACTTTTACAAAAGCACTTTGACAACCAGTAAAAATAATTTTCATTTGAAATTTTTTTTCCTACTAGACAGTTGGTTGCTTTCAATTCAGTTTTGTTAGTAACTGGTTCAGTCTCTTTCTGCGCTCTAAGGATCAAGGTTAAGATTTGTATTACTAAAAGTCTCTTTGTGAACTACTTCTAAAATCTGTAAGTATGAAATTTTTATTCTACACAATATAATATAATGTAAAAGTAATATATAATATACTATATATATAGTATAGATAGAGATATGGACCTAAAATGTATCGACATACTTTTAACTATTTTAAATGACAAAAGTTTTAACTCTTAAACTTTATTGCCGATTTACCAATCAGTGATAAACTATAATATTTTGACATATTAAAAAAATGTAGAGAATTTAAATAAATGTAGAGAATGTAGCTGACATATTTTTCATAACCTTCTTCTTCTTCTTATTTGGCACTACAGTTCAGTATGAACCTTGGCCTCTCTCACGATCTGCCTCCATCTGTCCCTATCTTCTGCTATTCTCTTCCAGTTCAGTACTTCAATCGTTCTTGCATCACCATACACGTTCTCATCTCATCTTGTTCTTGGCCCACTTCTGTGCCTGGTTGTCATCGGCTTTGCGTTGAATATGCTGTTCGGCCCCATTCCTATTACATGAGCAGCCCATTGCAACCTTTACGACTTGATGTATCTTACTATATTTTCATTTCTAAGCAGTTCTTCAATTTTATTATTTGTTCGTCTTTGAAAAGTTTCTGCATTTGGATTGGCCCGTAGATTTCGCGAACTATTTTTCTTTCAAAAATTTTAAAGGTTCTTCGTCCGCCTTCGTCATTGTCCATGTTTCTGAACCATATGTAGCTACCGGTGTTATTATTGTCTTGTACATTCGTTGCTTGCTTTCCTTGGATAGTAGTCTTGATTTCATTAAGTCTAAATATTTGTAAAAACATATATTTGCAGCATAACCAATATTTTTCATAACCTTAGTATTTATTGGGTTGACATCATTTATAGTTTCTGTTGAAGCTTAATCCACTTCCGTCTATTATTGACAACGGTATACGAGTATAAAGTCAAGTTGATCATTTCTGTTATATTAGTTATATGTTATATTAGTTGAAAGATATTATAATGTAATGTGCTTTAAATAAAAAAATAACCATAAAACCTTAAATAAATATCATTGATAATTTTAACTTATTTTAATTTTAATTAAGCTAATTTTACAAGAGGAACTCGTGGATCTCTCTAAAATGGAAACTACAAAGAATTTGGAATTACCTTTGATGCTGTGGAATCTATTGAATCTGGATGACTCCGAATTAATATCTTGGGGACCAAAAGGTGATACTATAATACTCACTAAAAATGCTTGGAACACCTACTTGGCAAATCCTGTGTTTGATTTGAATTATGGTGACTGGGATGAATTCTCGAATCAATTATTAAACTATGGTTTTGATCTTTTAAACTGCAGAAAAGATCAACATAAGGGTGTACTCGTCCATATGAAGCATAAGTTTTTTCGTAGAAATAGATTTGATTTGCTTTCTAAGGTTATATGTAATACAAAGTCTAAAACAAGTGTCATCAATCCTCCAAAGATATCTGAAGGAAAAACAGGTGTTATAAGTCGTGATAAATTGGAGCAACTTCGAGTTTTTGCCGCTATAAGATTTAATTCGCTAAAAAGGGGTTTAGAAATAACTAATACCAGTTCAACCGCGGAAAACTCATTGGGTTGTAAGCCAACTGTTATAGAGCATCCATCTGAGGTTAAAACAGATGATGAGCCCATGATTGAGTTCCTTACTGATTGTGCTCCGACTTATGCTGGTTATTATGGAGAATACACTATAGAACAATTGAATCAATTTTTCGGTGATTATTTACCTAAGTATGGCCCGAATAGAAAAATAATTATAAAACCATTCAAAAAGGAATTTCAAACGTAAGTTTTATATTCATGTTATAATACAATAATTCAAATAACACTTATAAACATAATATGTAGTTTATTAGATAATGCCAGAAATAACATGGGTAGACCCAAAATTGCTCGGAAATTTTGTAAAGAACAAGTTGGTACTCAAAATTATATACCATTATCATCGTCCGATGAAGGAACTTTTATGGAAAGAACAAACGCGCTGCATGAAATAACAAAACCAAGATATCAGCGAAAATTGCTCAAGGAGAAGATTGGTACACAAAATCATATACCAATATCATCTCCTGATGAAGGTAATTTCATTGAAAGGACAAGTGTATTTTTTAATACTGCAAAACGAACTGAAGATTTCTCGGATTATGAATTCTCCGATGATGAAGATGAGATGGGAAATGAAATGTTGTCTGATTCAAAAATGAATGAAGATGATGATTGCGAACCTTCTAGTAGTAAAAAAATGAAATTTTCTGAGCCGGATGAGGCAGAATATTATGATTTTTTGGAGATGATAGATGCCAACTCTACTTTACTGGAAGATGTTCCAGTTCCTCAATATGTACAAGAGTTTCTAGATAAAGCAGCTGAAGAGAAATATGAGAAAGAAGACATGCGCAAAGATTTTTCAGATGGAATTAAGGATCTTATAGAAATACGCAAATAATTTAAAACTTAACAGTTTTACAATTCTAGATTTTATAAAATCAATAATAAAGACAAGAAATAAAATATTATCCTATCTATAGAAATTATTAACATACGAAGCACAGATTAAAATATAATTGCTATATAAACAATTGTTATTGTTTATTATTTTTTATTATTTGTTATTCATTATAAATGATTTATTAATTATTATTTATTTTTTATTATTATTTGTTTGTTGTTAATTATTTATTGTTTATTGTATATTTTCTATTAACCGTTATTGGATTATATCTTTCATCTATTATTTTTTACCAAATATTTATCATCTATTAGCTTTCATCTATCATATACCATCTATTATACATGATCTATCTATCATATATTAACTATCATCTATTATCTATATGAATTATGTATTATCTATTTTTTATTATACATCATCTATCATATATCATCTATCATACATTACACATCATCTATTATCTATTATGTTTTATGTATTATTTATTATGTATTATTATTAGTAATCTATTACCTATTAAATATTATCTATTACCATTAACTATTATCAATTATATATTATCTATTATCTATTGTTTATTATCTATTATCGGTCTATCATCTAAAATTTGTCATTTGCTTTTATTGAATATCATAAATCATATATTATCATACATGTGTTATCAACGTAAATAAAATCTAAAAAAAAAATCAGAAGTTATACAAAACCGGATATCATAAAATTTTTGGCTTTAGTATACATTGTGATTTAGAATGAAGAGTTTGCCACACATGTGCTGCTAGAATGCCCTGCGCTAATGCATACAATAAATAGACTCTTGGGAATGTATATCCTTACGGAGAGGCAATGGGAATGTATGTCCTTACGGAAGAGGCAATGAAACTCTATAGAGTAGGTTCTATACTACTTTTTACTGATGCAACAAGACTAAGACATTTACTCTAAACCCAGAAGGGGGCACAATAGATACGATGGTCGCAGTTCCACAATCGTTTTTAATAATAAATAAGTCTGGCAACTTCATCTTCAATCAACTCTTGCATCCTTTTAGGAGTTTCCAAAATAATAACATATTAAGTAACTTGAAGAGAAATAGGTAATTGAATACATTAGAAATCTGACTAGAGGAAAATACAATATAAAATTCTATTGTATATTTCATAAGATTTTTTTTGCTCCGTTCACCGAGCTTAACTGTTGATTGTTTTATTACTGTTTCCTGTGGCAAAAACGTAAAAGGATACTAACGATTTCAGAATGCCAAAAACATGAGAAATAGCAGCAAACAATCCAATGGAAACGTTTCCACTCATTGTGCCTGCAGCGTATTGCACATAATTATTGTTCTCGTCCTGGGAGTCATAAAGCACCGAAAAGTGCTTATTAATTCATTTTCATTCGGAATTGTGCTGTGTATGGTTCCATGAGTTGACACTGACCAAAATAACATAGCATTGGGCGGATATGTGAGCTGGGAAATCAGCATTTAAGCTGAACTCGAATAAAAACACATATACTTCATTGTGGTTATATGCAACACATGTGGAAAAAATGTTAAATGTTATAAAATCGCTATATAATGATTAAAGCAGTTGTGTGTAAAAAAATATAACATTTCTTTGTATAAAAAAAATAAAGAGAAGAAATGTAATTAAGTAACCAAAATAAACGATTTAATGATAAGCAGCTTTAAAAATTTATGAATACTTATTTATTTAATATAAAAGGGTCTTCTTTTGGTTTGCCACGATGGCTCATAATGATGTATTACATTTTAAATTTATATTGTTTGATTGATAAAATATTAACTAAAAATATAATGAACGCATATCAATAAACTTAAGATTATTGACTAAGGCGAAGTAGACCGCCTTTTATGTGTGGCGGTCACACCATCAATTAATTAAATAGTTACCTTTATGTTAATTAAATTAATTTTTAACAGTTTTTTAAGGATTATAATAATTTTAATATAATGTGCATTTGTTAACCTCAAAATAAATTATATATCCTATTATTTTAGAAATTGTGAAAAGTGGTAGCAAAAATATTCAAAGACTTTTTTTAAGATAATACTAAAAATTCTAAATAAAATTAAAACCATTTTAAATAAATCGAAGGAATGTTTTTAGATGTGTTCTTTTTATGGTCACATCATAATAAAGAATTTATTTTTTAGTTCAATTTATTGTAGGCTTATACGTATAAACGTATTTACTTAAATGGCAGTAACTATGTGATATCGGGTTTTTTGTCTTGACGGAGCAGTCTTGCAGACACTTTTGAAGTGCGGTTAGTCCTTCCTCAACTTGGTCATACTACAGAAGTCACTGTTATACTGGATTGCCATCATCTATTTTTACGACATGACCAAGCCAGCAAAGTTGGTGGATATTAATTCGCTGAATTACACCAAAATCGTCATAAATCTTGTACACTTTGTGGTTCATACGGATGCGGTTATCGTCATTAACTCGTAGAGGATCAAAGATCTCAAGAAAACTTTGCTCTCAAAAACTATCAGTGCTGCGTTAGCATTCTGTGATAATGAGTGTCCTATAGAGCGCAAGTTTTGTTCATCGAGAGAGAGAGTTCTTCGTCTTAATTGTCTATTGAGCCCATTGGCAATGGTGATTCTTCGTCTGATCTCCAGGCAGCTGAGATTGATATTTGTTACGGCGATACCGAAACAAATGAAATCTATAACAGATTTGAAAATGTAGTTGCCAACTATCAGCTTGTTGTTCGAACAGCGTACTTGTCTACCAGTAACTGCCATATATTTCGTTCTGCCCTCATTCACCGCCAATCCCATTTGGGTAGATTCTTTTTCGATAGCAGTAAAGTTAGTTCCAATATCGCGCTTGCTAAGGTTAATGATGTCGATGTCGTCGGCTTAAGCAAGAAGCTGGAGACATATGCATAATATTGTGCCGTTACGATAAATACATGCAATATTCATGAGAATTTTCATAACGAAAATAAAAAGAATACATGATAAGGGACCATATCGTCTAAAGTTTTGCACGATATTATTTTTTATTTCAGCCAGGGTTACCAATATATTGCATTTCAGTAACAGATAACTGAAATATATGTAGTAATATATACTACAGCCAAAAATGTTTTAAAATTAAATTTTGTAAAATTTCTACAAATGTAATTACATTTTCTTCCCAAAGCTGGATTAAAGGAAAGTGAAAGTGTGTTAAGAACATACCTTGTTATTATGTTTAATGTTTTAGTAGTTTAAAATATTAATAATACTATACAAGCTTAGCTATAATTAAAAGCACATATTTGCACAAATTGCTGTGGGTAAATGCGTTATGAATCCTTACAGAAACTAATGATTCTCAAACATTCAAAATCCTGTGAAAATCTGTGTTGCACTTAACAGGAAGAAGAGCTCAGATGAACGCTTGTAATCGAAAGCAATTTTGTAGTGTGTGTTTTTAGGGGCCACACAAATACAAAACAAAGTTATGCCGTTGGTCATTTTCCTTGCTGGCAGTCAAATTCGATTTTGTATTTTTGGACAAGTACCTTGTAATTTCCTGCTCGAACCACACAACAACGTCACTGAGTGCTGCTATCAGAGATTGAGATTACTATTAAGGTAGAATTTTGCATTTGACTTTGTTTGTAGAAGGTTAGAGGTTTTGTAAAAATAGAAGATGAATGAAACGATGAGATGAAATGAAGTTTTGACATTTTAAATTTTGAACTTAAATTGTTAGAGATTTTAAAATTGGTTGAAGTCTTATTGAATAAATATTAAATATAATTATGTTTAAGCTTTATAATTTTTTTTGTATATTAAGCACAATTGATTATCTGTAAATGCTGAACATAATTCATATTAAAATGCTAAAATACTTATAATTTAACAACTATTTCAAGTAAAAAATTTAGTAATAAAATAGTAAATAGAAAGAAAAAAAATTTAGTTTTACTTTATATATCACAAAATCAAAATCATTGTTTTTATATTAGAAGGGATTTATTATCTCTTATATAATTTATATATTTTGTTTTATATATAGCATTTCTCGTTAACGTATCTTGACATTCATATATGCAAGAGGTGGTCAAGAGGATTTGGTATTTATATATCTAAAATAAATCTAAAATCTATTTTAGATGTATCTAAAATATTATTGCCATTTTAATGAATATGAAATGAAAAATTTCAATTAAATGGTTTTATAGAAACTATATATATGGCTTTAAATCTTGAAGGAAATATAGCAATATCCATATATTCTGTATGAAAGTTTAATCTTCTTTAATAGGGTATTTAACTTTAATCTCGTTTAAAAGAAGATATTATTATAATTAATTTCTAATAATTTTAATAAGTAACCAAATAAACAGTAATTGCGAAAAGTTTTATGTAGCGTGTAAGTTTTATAATTCAAATTATTGCATACTTTTAGGCTGTGTAAAAGTTTAATTTCCTTTAAAAGGAGATTTAACTTTAATCGCGTTTTAAAGAACATATAATTTTAATTATTTTATAATGAATTAATTATGATAGTTCTCTTATTGTAAATTAATGTTAATGGCACATATGTATACCGCAATAAAATTTTCATTTTATTTATCGTCTGATTGTAAATTATTGTTAATTTAGGCTCATACCTCGAAGTATATTACAATGACAAAATATATATAAATCAAAGAAATAGTCTAAATAAATCAGTACTCTGCAACTACTTCACTTTTATAATATCATTTTATGCAGGTATATTGATAAATTTGAATCATATGCAAACGTCAAATTTAGGAATAGGTCTCATTGAATACATAAAGCATATTTGACATTTTTTTATTACATTTTGAGATGAGCAGCAACGTTGAAATAATTGGTTGTAAAAGATGTAAATGAAAGAATAAATTGAGCAAAATTACCCACGAAATGTGTGAATTAATGAATACGTTTGTTCGAAGAAGTGATGAGAGAACGATATATAGCACAAGAACGCATCAAATGTTGTACTGTGACGAAAAATGTGTATTGATAAGAAGCTACTACACTTAGT